GCCACAAAGTCGGAAAAAATTTTTGATTTTCTGACAAAACCCCGGGTCTATTACATCATTTGATTATTAATGGCGTTTATTTCATACAATTTAAATACCTATTCTAATTGATTATTCCGCAACGCCGTGAAAAAATCATGCAACAAGGGAGAAAAATCCAGAGTTAAAATCCACCTTTTTCCACRGGTCTGGGGGATGATCTGATACTACATAAAATTACTTTATTTTGAATGTATTTTATGCATAGATAACATTTTTCCCCATGCCGTAAATTTTTTTTGGTCCAAGGGTCTGTAGGAGGAAAAAAACTTCAGAAAAATCCATGTAAAAAAATGTTCTTTTAAGTGATATTTAGTTCGACATTTTTTTGTACGGCATTTAGAAAGTATATTTTTATTTAATGCAATCGTCTACAAAAACTCAATGCCGTACAAATCTGGTAGTTTATATTCATAAAAAAGTAATAAAAATAATAAATATATATAATTTTTATTTTATGTTGTTTGCTTCGTAAAATGAACTCTACTTTAAAATTAATATTAAACAAATAGTAAATATTATTTATTATATGAATGTTTTATTTATTAAAATACTTGTCTATTATTTAATTTACATTTGTAATACGTACATATAGTGTTCAGGAGGGTAGTACGAACGCGAAGTATACATACAATATAATATATACGCATATTGTATATGTATGTGTATGTGTATATTAGATAAACATATTACAAAACCAAGCAATAAAAATTTTGTTGGTAGTGAAAGTGTATTAAATGCTGGACATGTGATTAAGTATGGCCAAGTACCAAATTGTGATTGTAATATTATAAGTATTTTAGCTTTTTGTTTACAAACTTGACATATTAAAGGAAATCCACATGAAATAACTGGTGGAATATTAAAAAATGGTCGAATGGTTGGAATAAGTTGTTCATACAACGATGGTTTAAGTGGTATTTGTAAATATGTTGTTGCAGTATTGTAATATCATTAACTGTCACTAATTTAATTGATCTCCTACGTATTCTTTCTTCTCGAGAATCTATTTGATCTACAGGACAAGC